CATGAACACAACATATTCCTTGTGAGCCTACATTAGGTGGATATCAGACAAGATTTATGAAGAATGACATACCACAAATATAACAAATCTGCCATACTCCGACAATCAATCTCACACGGCAGAATAACAATGATACAACACTTGTATCAAGCAACTACAGCCTCGCTTCAATCTGATAAAACTAATGCTCCGTTCAAAGTACAGAGGAAAGTTCGCCAAGGGATCGGGGATCCTTCATTGCCATTTCTCCATCGCGTGCCTTCAATTCGCAATTGTTTCTGCCTACTAGGAAGATGGAGACGACTCTAATATAATATCTTTGGAAAGTGCACTGCCTTGCACTTGCGTATGACGTTGTAATCATAGGTCGCTGCCCAAGTGTATACAGGGCCGTGAAAATTCTCGAAGCTTGTCAGCAGGTTGGACTTCAAATAAATGAAAATAAATTTAAATAGATGGGCGACGACAGAGATCGCGTTTGGAGGAGTTCAACAATTACATGAACCAACACCACCGAACGCGTAGACTTTTTTATCCGTCTCGGTCAGCTACTGCAGCGTCCCGCGATCACGATAAGGAAATATCCAGGTGCAATGGGATGGCATGGAATGCTTTTAGCAAGACGCGAGATTTCTCACCAACAGAAACGTAGCTGTTCATCTAAAACGACATTACCTCAACAAAATTATCCTTCCCACACTTCTGTATGGCTGTGAGACGTAGTCAACCACTAGAGTCGATGCTAAAATTACTGCGATGTCAGAGAGCAATGGAAAGGCTGATGCTTGGATATCAACTAAAGGACCACAAATCTTCAACTTGGATTTGTTCTATAACAAACTAGAACGCGTATATACGACAACATACTGATTAACAGAAACCTCAGATAAAATCATCACGATATTCATCACTAAATGTATAACTGTTGCTTACGGATAAAAGATAAAGATAAAGAGCTTCAAATGCTGATTCCAAATCAGTCTTCGCTATCTCAGAGGCCTCTGGACGTCGAGTTATGAGTGTTTTCAATTAGAAAAATTGAATGAATGATTAGCACAAAATTCGCCAGATTTGCTCAAATGGTTCAATGTTGTTATCGGAGAACTCCATTTGAGCAATACCTTCTGTTCAAAACACTCATACTTAATAATGCTCTATTTGAGCGCTGAAAAAAGACCGTAGCATTTGATGTTACCTTGATTATGCTTCATTTCTCGCACCAAGGAAATATCTATAAGTCGGCCTGCAGAGTCGCTCGGCAGATAATGAAATCAGATTTGGAATCAGCGTTCGATGCTCTTCGAAGTGGTGTAAGACTCATTTGTAAAGGCCACTTCAACCTTTGTTAGATGGAAATCATCTTTCATACGCAGAGAATTGAAACTGCTGGTAATCATAGAATCACAAAAAGAGAAGCAAGAATTTCGGAATTTGGCATTCTGCCGGAGATTGTTTCAATCACATAAAACATGCTTATATCCATTCTCTTGCACAAGTTCCCATGTAAATTGAACCTTCAGAAATGCAAAATATTTCGTTCTCTCTTTCCGTGTTAGCATTCATCATTTTCGTTCCAGTTTCTAACCCTTTTCATCATTGTTGCAGACATTCGCAAAGTGTTTTTTTGTAGAAGTGATATATGGACTACGGACTTCATCGCATTATCATCTTTGCAATCGTAGCTATCCTTTCGGCATTCGGTTTCTATGGTAACATTTCTCTCATCGTTCTTCATATCAGAAAGCCGATGTTTAGGACAAAATATGGTAAGCACAATTTGTCGCCTAAGGTTGGCCTCAAAGAAGCATGGCCAACAATGAGATCTAGTTGTTATGTAGTGAAAGCTTGTTTCCAAGCAGTACATTGTATGTATCGGGAAATAATTTCTGATGACAGCTATGATAAATATTAGCTGTCATAGGACAATGTCCATCGATTGTTTTACCATTTTCAAAGTATCAGGTTGGCCAGTCTCTGGTGGAACTTTATGAGCTTTTGGAACTAAATTCAGATAAAGCATACACCTTAACAAATGCTCAAGTCAGTGGGATCTAGCGGTCATACCATGAATGTGACGGTTCTGGAGATAACCATTCATCCTACTTTGATCTTCGAGGAACCTGGTTGACTCATACCTTTGATAGTCTAAAGACAGGGCCTCAACATCTGCCACCCACAAAAACTGAAGACTGCTTGAACAGAACAGGGAAGAAAGAAAGGTGCAAAACAAACGACAAAAGCAGAAGAAACCTTCAAAAATTGGATGAACGTGCTGCAATGAGTTTGAAATCTTTCATTTGGCGGCACTTCGAATTGCAGATTGTTTTTGCTTTAGGAAAAGGCAATCCACAACAAGGAGGAAATAGAGGAAAAGCTAGTTTCTTCTTTGCGATGGTTTTGAAATGAATATATTTTGGTAGCGTGACTAGGAAAAAAACGAGAAAAGGATCAGTTTTGAAAACGTAAAGTTTTGTTTTTTCTAAGTCGAAATATACGTCTAAGACAATCTTCCTTTGATTTTGCTCCATTCTCGTCGGTTCTGTTTCTGGCATCGTTGTCGGCTTTGTTACACTCATAATCCTGAGCAAAATGCGCTCAAGCGTGTAAGAAATGATTGCTTACTAACTCTAACTATGAAAAAAGCTCACTTTTTGCAGCTTTTTGCCAGATATTTCACCACAAATAAAGAAATTAGCCCCGCGACGTTGTCTATATTATGAACAGAAGCAAATCAAATGCATGCAACAACCGCTTGAAAACAACTGAATGAAAAAAACAAGAAATTTTCGAAAATATCTTTAATTTTTTCGTTCAAATCAAAAATGGGGTTTTGCGACGTTGTCAGCGTGGAACTAGAGGTCAAGAGCTTCAATATTGTATATTATTCAGCTTGTTAGAATTAAGTTAACAACGAAGAAAAGGGTGCCAGAGCCAAATGCCCGTGCCCCGCGTTTGGGGCAACGGTAGCGCACAGCGCGCGGAGACGCAACGAGCAGAGGAGAAACACCAGAGCCGACGGGCATTTGGCTCTGGTCGTGAACCTGAGCACGGGGTCTGGATGAAGCGTAGCAACATTATATGTCATTGTGATCGTCATGGCACGATTAGAAACAGTGACAACGTCTCAAACCTTGAATGCCACTTTACGAGATGAACCAGCATTTCCGTGCGAGACTCTCTCGCAAAAGCTAAGCGCAATTTCTTGTTTTCATTGAACTACAAAAGCTCTCCTAAAATTTTGAAACTCAATCGCATTCCGAGAAAAGTCAGTTAAAAAACGTTGTCCCGAATTCTATGGAATTTACACAAAAATTTTGTTTTTAACTAAAAGAAGGCTATAAAAAGGAGTTTTTCGAGCTTTCCGTGTTAATCTTGAGATATTATTCGCTTCATTCACATTCCTTCCGATATAGTCACCGGATGACTCTGTTTTTGGCGAAGGTTGTGTTCTCTCATCGCTCAAAGTGAAGGTCACCAAAGTACATGGCTATATGTATGAGGTATGGTTGACTACCAAGCCTCAATTGCAAGGCAATACCAAATAAGATGTCATTTTTGATATTGTGATCAGTACTGAACCCAGAAGTACTTTGACGAAAGATGATCTATATTTTTTACCGCATGGCATCGTACCCGTAAATCGGTACCGCTGGTATGCATGACGCCAGTGTTCCGAAAATGAAGCTCATTAAAATCGACAACGATCTTTTCAAAAACTGCAACATGCTATAGCCCTCCCAAAAAAATATTTGAACAATATTTTTGACCGCGGGCATCTTCGATAACTCAAAACAACAGAAATTGAAAGAACGGCCTAGTCGAGTAATTTTTCAGTTCATCCTCAGTAGCAACATACATAGCACCCTTATACAAATCAACCAATTTAAGAAGTAATTGAGAGAAACAGTTTCCATGCACGGGTATTAAACTTTAGAATTGAGTGTCGTGAACGAACACAGAAGTTTTTGGAAGTCTTGCTTGGCAATCGAACTTTTGTGCCGATGGAATAGAAATTTTTCACTGTGCATTTTTCTTCTGCCAGAGTGTCTCTAAAGTTATCTATGGTTACAAGTCAAAAATCGAGCTTGCTTCAAGGGCCAGGCATACTTAGAGCGTTATGATCATCGCGATTTGTAACCGTCAGAATCTCTTGGTAGTAGTGGAGGCGACTATTTCGCTAATCGCTCTACGTGGACATATTTCTTCATCAGTTGGTGCATTCGAACACTGTTTTCGGTTCAAGGATCTCGCCCAAACTCGGTCTATGGGGTTTACTGGAAACCAGCTGGCAAATCCGGCTCCGCGGGGCCCTGTCAATAATATTTTCGTAATCTGCTTACTCACTTTTCTCTTGTGCCAACTCCCAGCTTCGTATGTGGAGCTTGCAAAAAACCGATAAAATCGATATCAATTGATGACGAAAGTAGCCTACGACATCCTTCCCGCCCCGAAGTACAGATATGCCAAGTTTGGTATAGATCAATTTTGAGCAAGATCTGTGACTTGAAAAGAACCCTTACATTAGGAAAACGCCAAAAATTGTGATGTTGCGGATGTTGATCAGTTTCCGAACATCTCTGCAAGAAAACATTCTGAATTAACAAAAACTCTCGAGTCTTCCAGGAAAAAAATTTCAATCTTAGCGATATAGTCGCGTCGCTCGTTTAAAGTCAGCGACGCGGTATCGCTGAGATGCGGCCAAATCGCGATGATTCCGATGAGGGAGCCTTGCCCTAGGAAATACCGTCGGCGTCGGGCAACTACTGCAACCTGTGCAAGGTGACCGGCATGCAATAAATTCGTAACACTTTTCTTGTCGGAAAAATTGCGAAGCAATGAAATCGCATTATGCCCGGCCCTTTGAAAGGAACGAAGCTTTGTTATACAAGCGAATGCAGATTCAATGTTATTGAGTCCCTACTTCCTTAGCAGCGTTTTTGAAGACCAGACAAGGCGAGTGCGACACAAAACAATTTGTTTGGAAACGTTCACATCAAACTATGGTACTCTCCAGCTCTGATGTGGAAGATGAGCACCTTCTAAGTAAAGAAAGAGGCAATCGTGTATAGAAGCTTTTTGAGCAAAGAAGCGGTGGTTATTAATATATTAAGTGGGAGAATGCAGTCCACTTACAATGCGTTGAACGAGGCCAGCGCCGCGTAGTGCCGTCACACACCTGCACGCGAGCGTTACCTTGTGCTGCAGCCTGCAGGGACCATGCCGCGTAAAGCGGCGTAGTCCTTGTTTTGGTTAATTTTGCTTCTTTCCTAGCTTATTCTCTGTCCTGCTTGCAAATTTCAAAGCTTCCCCTATCTGAGGCTCTACCTCAGTACTTTCTGAGATCTCTCAAAGTATCACCGCGCGTATGGAGACAAAATCGAGTTTGAGGTTTTTGAAAGAAGATGTAATCTAATCACTTCATTCGAGAATTCGAGGACGACTGGTGCCCTTCCTCCTTACAGCTTAAAGGCAGTGTCCGGGCAAAAACTCGATCTTGAGATTTTTTGCTTATCCGGGCCTATTCGCTACGCTGAATCCGAAAATGAACATTGGAGAGCGCGAAAACGGCGAAAACGGCTCTAACATGGGAGGGAAATCAGCAGGTGGGCGAGGTTTTCCCACTGTGAATTCACGCTCCCAGCTTCCAGAGCGATCTTCTCGGTTCCGATTTCAAGTCGTGCATTCGCAACTGGCCAGTGGAAATCTCAGGGCGCTAGAGGAATTGGGAAGATCGCTCCAGAAGCTGGGACTGCGAAATTCACAGTGGGGAGGACCCCGCCCACTTCCAATTTCCCTTCTGCGTTAGAGCCCTTTTTCGCCATTTTCGCGCTTTGAATGTGGATTTTCGGATTCAGCATAGTGAATAGGCCCGGGTAAGCACAAAATCTCGACTTTTTGCCCGGACACTGCCTTCAAGGTGAATATCGTAACGTGTAATCGTACATCGTGTAGGTTGAGAGAACAGTTTGAATAAGCAGCACACTGACACTGCTCACTCAAACCTAAACGATATACGACTATGTCCGTTGAAACACGAGTCGACATAATGAATCATGACATCCGGAATCAACCATCTGAAGAAGCCCGGATGAAGTGAAAGATATCATGAGGGAAAAAGCTCAACGACTTGATACCTCCTTCTTTGCTGCGAAAAAAAATTATATTCGGTATTAGGGCAAATGAGCATAGGCGTTAGATAAATGGCAATCCGCCCCTTCAAATACGGAAAATTACGAGATACAATGATAAAAACAAGTCCCGCAATGTTGTGCGCAGCAGGGTCCCTGCACGATGCGCGTACGGTAACGCTTGCGCGTAGGTGTGTGACTGCACTACGCGGCGCTGAACACATCAAACGCATTGTATGCATGTAAGCAAATGTGATCTCTGGTTTAGGAATCCTGCTTTCTCTTCTAACGTTTTCCCAGCTAATCTGTACAATTTTTGAATGGATTGGGGCTATATATACTCTTGCGGCTGAACACGTAAGTGCACGTTTTGTCATTCCTTCTTCACATTGATGTGTCAAGGTTATACGTTCGGAGTGCTTCCGGCTTATTTTCACGTACGTATTTACACACTGCATTCAAATGGGTTTATTTGCTACTATCGCTGTTGACTTACTCAATTCCATCATCATCCCATTACGGTAATACTTTAAATCGGTCATGTTTTAAAATTCGAGAGGATGCTGATTACGAAAATGACACAAAGGCGTTCGCTTTGATAGGAGAAAAAGAAAAAGGAAATGACGCACAGAATTGAAGTGAAAGGATGAACTAGAGTCTTACAATAGATAAAAAAAATGGCATTTACTCAATATACAAAGTGAAAGATTGGTTCTGGTTAATGTAAAGGCTGCATTTGATAAGTCTTTTAAAGAAGCGGGAGTTTGAGGCACGGGCGCTTATAATGAGTTGCAATTTTATTGGCCATATTGTGATCAAGACCCTTGAATTGGATTAGAAAACGAGAACAGCCAAAGAACTTCAATTTCGCGTCCTTATTTAATGCAAAATTTCTGATAAGCTCTTACTTCAACGGTGATTATTCACCAAAAATCGCTTTGATAGAACTTTTGATTTGCAGTTAATTGTCTATCATGCGATTCACCTGAGAGTCAAAGTATATCCGCGTCCTCAAGCTTTTCGTTAACTAGGGCGGGGCGTCTACTACTAGGCGGCTTCTGACAAAAACGATAAATGTTGTACTGTCGGAAGTAAAGCCGCTCCATACTAACATGGCAGGTAAAAATCAAAAAGCACGACGAAGCAAGTTTTACATGACTGAAAAGAACTGAAACTGTGTTACGCATTAAGGTTTATAGCCAAAATTCAAAAGCGCTTCACTACATCGATAACCGATGCTTACCGCAAAGTATGAGGTCACATGGCTGTTTATATTAGGTTGATTCATAATTAATGCACGTTTTTCTCACCTCTTCTTCCAAGAGCTGGTATTTGATGTGTAATCAATTCCCTCAAAGACTTTTTATGCTTTCTGAAAGAGCGTTTTTTCTAGTTTCTTAAGTAGCCCTTCGCTTTCGTACATCTCCGTTTATTCCAAATTTCTGAGCCTTCAGATATAAGAAACTAAATCCCAAAAATTTTGCTTTTCACTCTTTTTGCCCTAAATCCATGAGGAATAGGCGGATTGATTTGAAAAATATGCATAAGGATTAGGAAACTTTGTGCTACAAGATGTTGCTTGAACAAAATTCTCCATGAATTTTGAGCCGAGAAATTCAATTGCGAACCTTAATAATCGTCCCTTCCGTGCCATATAAAACTTTGAAGCAAAAGGCGATTGCAGGTCTTCTGCACTATCCAGCAAGGGTAGACCTAGATCATCTAATGGTAGAAAAGCGCTAGGGGTTTCTCACTTTCCAGAGGAGATAAATGAAATAATTTCAAAAATGACCGATTTTTGAACCCGCCCAGATGCTAGGAAAAAGTGAGTACTTTCGACTTTTTGGCGATATTTTCTTTCAAATTTTTCTCTAAAATCCAAGCTTGGCATTACTGCTCAAGAGACATTTGGCTACACGATGAGCGCAGTCTGCTTTATCCTACTTCATTTAAACATAAGTTATGCTCTCTCAAAGCAGAGATTTCTAAAAAAAGTTGTTGGCAATCTTCAGGCCAGGTAATCTTTTTTGTGATATATACAGTCACGCAAAAGTATCTGTTTTATAGCCACTGATTTGATGGTTACAGTAGTTTTTGATGCGCCCAGAAATGTTTTTTTTTTCAAAAAAGAATTATCTTTGTTGAAAGTTGAAGTATAGAAAACGTGCATTAATTATGAACCAACCAATATATAGCTAAAAAGCTATATATAAACTAGAATATAACCTCACAGCAGTGGCGTACCCAGGATTTCGGCTCGGGGGGGGGGGGGGGTGGACAAAAATTTTCCGATGAAGGTGCGTGGCGTCAACCACGCACTGCGAGATTTTTTTTAGTATGCTCCCTAAAATTTTCGCGGGCACAGAACCCCGAAAATTCAGAAAAAGGGGGCGTGGCGTTAGCCACGCCACCGAAAAAATTTTTTTCATAAGGCTAAAATAAATTTTTTAAAAATTTCAAAAATTATTTTTGTTGTGTTAGTGTTCGTATATGACCAGCTGTTTTCCTCATAGTGATCTGCCCTCGCGCATTCGATCTTAGCCTCAGACTGCGCGGGAAATGAGCGCTATAAAAGGCGCTCACTCATAGTCTTAGTCAGTTCAGTTCAGTTCTACAGTTCGACTATTCACTCATCGCCTCTTTTATTTTTACTGTCTCTATTATTTGCTAATAAATATTCTTCTATTCCTCGTGTGCGCCTCAGGACGAAGAGTCGACGTGTCCGAAGTGGAGGACACAACAGTGGCGATCAGGACGAAGACACGTGGAGTCGAAGAAGACAGAGAGCAGTCGAAACCCCCGGCAGCAGAAGTAGTCGACCAGAATGGCGAAGATGGGATCAGAAGAGATGCTGATCATGCTGAAGGAGTTCAAAGAAGACCAGCGAAATCTCCGAGAACTAATGAACGAAGAAAGAAGAGAACTGTTGGAGATATTGAAGCACATTACTGGTACTGAACGAAGCAGTACCTCAATCGAAATTCCGAATGTGATGTCCGCGCTCAGCAACAGGATCGAAAAGTTCTACTTCGACCCCGAGGCGGATATGTGCTTCAGCAGATGGTACGCTCGGTACAAGGAAGTCTTTGTCGAAGACGCGAAGCAGCTCACAGAGAGCGCCAGGGTGAGGCTGCTGTGCGAAAAACTGGACAAGGATTGTTTCGAAAAATATCAGAGGCATGTGCTATCGAAAGAAGTGACCGCCATCAAATTCGAAGAAACGGTCGAAACATTGAAGCAACTGTTTGACGTGAAGATCTCCGAATTTACCATGAGGTACCAGTGTTTGAAGCTGGAGAAGGCGGATTGAAGATTACCTCATGTACACCGGTCGAGTGAACGAACTGTGCGAAAGGGCGAAGATCCATGAGCTCGACAGCGATGGGATCAAATGCCTGCTGTGGATATTTGGATTAAAGAACCAGAAAGAAGCCGAAATCAGACAGCGACTCATTGCCGTACTGGACAAGGAGTACAAGGCTGGTCGAAAGATGTCGCTGCAGGAGTTGTACCTGGAATGCGAAAACTTCCTAAGTCTCAAGAAGGATAGTGAGACTGTAGCTGGGTGCTTTAAAGCCGTCGAAGCAACAAGCAAGGAAGTGCCGAAAAAACTGGAGTGCTGGAACTGCGGTGGTGAACACTTTTCCAGAGATTGCAAAGCTAAGCTGTGGTTTTGCAAGAAATGCAAGAAGACAGGTCATAAGGAGAAGTTTTGCGAACAAATAACGGAGAGAATGCTTACTCAACAGCATTCAAAACGAAGAATCCACAGAAGCAGCGACACCAGTAAGAACAGAAGTTGGACGAAATCAAAACGTCATGTGCACAGCGTAGCGAAGATTGCGAACGCGATAATGGAAGTCAACTCTACACGCATATATGTCGAAGCAAAAGTGAATAGTCATCCAGTTAGTTTCCTCTTAGATACTGGATCAGACATCACACTTCTGAACGAATCAACTTGGAGAAGCATGGGTGCTCCTCGATTGGAGAACACGAACGTGGTTGTCAAGAATGCTAGTGGAAGCTCCATGAAAGTGCATGGAAAGCTATGGTGTGAGTATGAGATCAAAGGATCCAGAAGTGAAGGCTACGCATACGTGACGCCCCATAACTCACTGCTGGGATTGGAGTGGATCCAGAAGAACGAAGATATGTCCTATCACTTAAGCAGAATGGTTGCCGAAGTGAAGACAGAGAAAACCAAGGACATCGCTCTGAAGCTGAAGGAAGCCTATACAGAAGTCTGTGAAGAAGGTCTGGGATTATGCACGAAGGAAAAGGCACACTTGATAGTTGACGAAAACGTTCGTCCTGTTTTCAAGGCTAGTAGACCTGTTCCACATGCTGCGCTCGAAGCTGTCGAAAAGGAGCTCGACAGGCTATTGGACCTGAAGGTCATTAGTCCAGTGACACATAGCGAATGGGCAGCCCCTATCGTATGCGTTAGGAAGGCGAATGGAAAACTGAGAGTGTGTGCTGACTTCTCCACTGGACTCAACAAAGCGCTGGACGTATGATTACCCGTTGCCATTGCCGGAGGATATATTCGCATCCCTAAATGGAGGCACGGTGTTTTCGCAGATAGATCTGTCGGACGCCTATCTGCAGATTGAGTTGTCAGACGAAGCGAAGAAAACGGTTGTAATAAATACGCATAGAGGGCTCTACCAGTACAACAGACTGCCTTTTGGAATCAAGACAGCACCAGGGATCTTCCAGCAAATCATGAACAAGATGGTGAATGGTCTGCGAGGAGTAGCAACCTACCTGGACGACATCTTGGTCTGTGGACGAACAGAAGAAGAACACATGGAGAATCTGTTAGCTGTGTTTGCAAGAATCGACGAATATGGATTCAAAATTCGTCTAGAGAAGTGTTCTTTCGGTAACCCAGAGATACGATATCTTGGCTTCATAGTGGATCGAAATGGTAGAAGACCGAACTTAGCGAAGATCGAAGCGATCAAGAATATGGATGAGCCGAAGAATGTTAGTCAATTGAGGGCTTTTCTTGGCATGATAACGTACTATGCGGCGTTTATGCCAAGGATCAAGGATCTTCGTGGACCTTTGGATGCGATGCTGAAGAAGGATTCGAAGTGGGAATGGACTCGAATTCACCAAGAAGCGTTCGAAAAGCTCAAGGAAACTTTGTCAAGTGAGCTGAACCTTGCTCACTATGATCCGAAGCAGAAGATCGTTGTCGCAGCGGACGCCAGCGACTATGGCATCGGCTGTGTGATATCGCATAGGTATGCCGATGGATCCGAAAAGCCAATCGCGCATGCATCGAGATCTCTCACGAAAGCAGAGAAGAATTACTCGCAAATCGAAAAGGAAGCATTGGGAATTGTCTTTGCTGTCAAGAAATTTCACAAGTACATATTTGGACGAAAGTTTCTATTGTTGACGGACCATCAACCATTGCTAGCCATCTTCGGTGACAAGAAAGGAGTTCCAGTCTACTCCGCTAACCGACTCATGAGATGGGCTACAATACTGCTTGGATATGACTTTGACAAAGAGTATGTCAAGACTACGAAGTTTGGACAAGCAGATGGCTTGTCACGGTTGATGAAGAAGAATCAAAATAACGAAGAAGACGTCGTGATAGCTGCCGTTGAGAACGACGTGAACTTCATGTTGAAGAATTGCATAAGGAAATTGCCAGTGACGGTATCGGATGTGCAATCCTATACTAAGAAGGACCCAATGCTACAAAAAGTGATGATCTACTTGAAGAAAGGACAGTGGCCAGACGTCAATGGAGAATTGGCACATTTTCGAAATCGAAGAGAGACATTGTCAATTGTGGAGCAGTGTCTGATGTCAGCCGAAAGGGTTGTGATACCCAAGGAGCTTCGAAGAAATGTTCTAATGAACTGCATATTGGTCATCCAGGGATTGTAAGAATGAAGAAACTGGCTCGAAGTTACGTCTACTGGCCGAATATAGACAAGGATTGCGAAGACTTGGTACGAAGATGTACGAAATGTCAGGAATTAGCCAAAAATCCGACGAAAGTACCATTAGAAACATGGCCGTCCGCGACTCGAGTGTGGCAGAGGATACACATCGACTTCGCTGGACCTATGCAAGGAGTTTTCTACTTGGTCGTGGTAGATGCGTACAGCAAATGGCCTGAAATGATCGAGATGAGTAATATCTCGGCTGCGAAGACGGTGAAGGCTTTGAAGAACTTGTTTGCGAGATACGGATTGCCGCAAACAATAGTGAGCGACAATGGTACCCAGTTCACATCGGATTTATTCAAGAAGATGTGCGACGAAGGTGGAATTACCCACATAAGGACTGCTCCATACCACCCTCAATCGAATGGACAGGCAGAGCGTTTCGTTGATACGCTGAAACGCGGAATCAAGAAACCAGAGGGGGAGGAGAGGCCAACAGAAGAGACTCTAAATGTGGTGTTACAAGCGTATAGGACAACACCAAATACGAACTTAGACGACAAGACGCCAGCGGAATTGTTCCTAGGCAGAAACTTGCGCACAAGGTTAAGTCTGCTACTACCGATGTCCGAAGATGCAGAAGATCCTCTCGCGCAAAGAAGACGGGAACGCATGAAAGATCAATTCGACAAGAAGCATGGAGCATGCCGAAAGGAATTCGAAGTTGGTGACCTGGTATACGCCAAGCAATGGAAGCCACCCCACTTCCATTGGATGAAAGGAACGGTGATGAGACGTATTGGATGCGTCAACTATGAAGTAATGTTGGAAATGAAGTCTGCAAGAAGCACGCAAATCATCTTCGGCATAGAAGCGACAGCGAACAGCTCGCCATCCAACAGCAACTCAAACAACAGTCCGGAGCCCTGAAGATACTCCTAGATGTTTTGACAGAAGACGACACTCTACGGAGGAATGGCAATGCTACTGAAGGGAGTCCCGAGCAAGCGATCGCGAGCAATGTGCCAGCACCCGTGGATTCAACGACATCGACGTCGCCATCAAGCCACGAGCCCTCCACGCCAGAGCCAACGCTTCGGAGATCGAGCAGAACGAGAAGACCGGTACAACGGTTCCAACCTAGTCCATAGTATGTTATCGTGTGTTTGTTTTATTAGTTTTGTAGTTGCTTAAATGATAGTGATATCTATGTATAATCGATTTTTAGCTGTTCATATTTGTAGTTCATGCTTTTTATCGTAGGCTAGTTTTGTGTGACTACCCTACTGGGGGAGGTGTTGTGTTAGTGTTCGTATATGACCAGCTGTTTTCCTCATAGTGATCTGCCCTCGCGCATACGATCTTAGCCTCAGACTGCGCGGGAAATGAGCGCTATAAAAGGCGCTCACTCATAGTCTTAGTCAGTTCAGTTCAGTTCTACAGTTCGACTATTCACTCATCGCCTCTTTTATTTTTACTGTCTCTATTATTTGCTAATAAATATTCTTCTATTCCTCGTGTGCGCCTCAGGACGAAGAGTCGACGTGTCCGAAGTGGAGGACACAACAATTTTAATTGTTTACAAGTTCAGACAAGTCATTTGCACAATTTTATAACCCATGTACGTAACTTTCAAAGATTTTGCGACCCGTTCTCGCTATTTGTTAGATAGTTAGAAAGATGAGTAGATCGAAAAATGACAAAATCCTAGCAAAACCGCACCCTTGCTTTTTTCTAAAAACTCACAAATAGCTCTAGCTTCCGAAGAAATATCGTTGGAATCCAACCAAAGAAAGACATTCGTGACGAATTGATAAAAGACCCTAGTAAGAGTCGAAGATACCTACGAACAGCACATAAATAGAGATGAGCCTACCTAATTGGTATAACCAGGTTAGGTACCTTATCTCTAGCAATGTGCTGATTGCTAGTTGGCTGCTTTCTTGATGTAAATAGTTTCAAGTAGCTCCGACAATGCAAGTACATGGTCGCAAATGAGCAGAAAAAAGCAGAAGGATACTTTATCCAAATTGCTACAAATGCTCTTAATTTTCTGAGGCTATGATCCTAGCATAGTACTGGTACATGCATTGTGAGTAATAAGCACGAATCTATAACTGAGCACCAATCCAATTCTAGTCCAAATCAGTATTAGGCTGGAAACTAAGGTTTGTAACTTCTTTCATGACTTTATTCTTTTTGGACATGGCGCACTCAAACTCTGGCATTGTGTAGAGCGTAATGTGTGATACAACTGCGCACAAACTGTTTGAATTCTGAGCACGAATTAATAAAATCCAGGCATTTTTCGAAACTAGTAATTTTTGAGATTTTCTGGAGTTATAAGCGAAAATGAAGCCGTTAGCAACGTAGACCATGCGCAATCGATTACGAAAATTTGATAGAGGCTGACCTCATTCGGCTCAATAAGAAAGAAGTAAAAATTAGGAGCAGTCGAAATTTGGCGCCCTCACAAACTCGAATGAGTCACCGTACGCAAGGCTGTCGAGGACAACCGTCAATGATTAAGCAGTCAAAACATCAAAATTAGCTGAGACTTGCATAGTGAGGTTCTTTAATCTGCTAAACACGAATATTTCATTTGTTGGCTCAACGCCTCCTCCCTTCTATAGGGTGAGATCCTATGTCTTACACCTGTAGCATTCTCACAAAAAAGCTTTTATCACGCAACTTCAGTACCGTTTCCGTGATCAGCATGTCATGCCAACCCCCTATGCCAAGTTTCAGAATCTGTCAAACTTGATAGTTTTTCTCTTTATACCAAATACCGACCGTAACCCTCATTGCGACGTTAGAATTTAACAGAACAGCAGCTGCGCATGTACAGCTGTATAGCTGTATAGCTTACTCATAACCTACACAACTGCAAAATATGAGTCTGCCATGCTGAGAGAAGGGAAAATTATTGAATGAGTTGCGAAACCAAGTTTCCAACTTGATGAAAGTGTGGATGAAAATTTATTTGAAGGACGCATTCAAAAACATTTTTACTACTCTGATACTCTATCCCACGACCTACTTGTTACCGAGAGACTCGATTTTCTTAGTCGGCACAAGTTTTACGGGCTTGCATTCACTAATTCCACATGGTATAAACTAAAGGTGTCTTTTTGCGGGAGTTGGGACATTGCGGAACTTACTGAAATCAGAGCCATTTCGAAGTGAAATCCTTCTGGAACGTCGCATCACAGAGTAGAAATGACATCTGTACACATGCACATACAAACAAAACCTAACTGACTTGTTTTCACTTCCTTCGCCGAAAATGAACTGCTCAGACAGTCGAGGGGATACCTCCGGAGGGCAAATGCCGGGGTGTGCCACTTCGTGCTCCGAAGCCCTCCCATTTCACGCGTTTTGATGCCCCGGCCCCTCCAAATCTGTCGCAACCCGGAGCAGAGATTTGCGAGCACCGGAGAGGGGCCCCATTTTTTTTCATTTTTTTTTGTGACGCCACGGTGACGTCACAAGAAGGTGAAATGGGAAAATTGATTTGGAGGGACCACGGAGCACGAAGTGGCAGACCCCCGGCATTGGCCCTCCGGAGGTATCCCTTCGATTGTCTGAGTGTATAGGTTTAGCCAAAATAAGACAGTAAGCCAGACTTGCTTAGGCATCGCATGTCAGGAAACTACAACTACGTTCTCCTTTTCTTACTGCCGTCATTATTATATGGATCGTTATCGGTATTTTTTGGCTATTGGACAACAGATGATGAGGAGATAAGTATGTGTAATCCGCCGAACGCTCTGCAAGAGACAGTGAAAGATATTTGGTATAAAATAGCGTTCGTTCTCTGCGGAGTCACACTGTTTAGCTACGCACTTGCATTCGTGGTGCTTTCTTACAAACGTAAGCAATTCTCTTTGGTTTGGACTGTTGCCAGGCGATGCTATTTCAGAGACTGAACTTTGAGTTAGCTGTTTCAGATTATCATCGAAAAGATCGAAAACATGAGACGGCACGTAAGTCAATGCGAAGTCTAACTGTGATATTTTCGACATTTCTGTGCACAAGATTTATCACTATACTCATAGCCAATGCGTTAAACATCGTACACGTTGATCCTGACTATATCGAACTTTGCCAAATGTACAGCGTGAGTTTTGACAAGTGACCAAAGTGCGCAAAGTGAATACTTTTTTTAAAGTTCTAGCATTTCCCATTTTTCCTCTCAATTTGTTGTATGCTCTACCAAAATTGCCCGAATACAAATTTGCAGGCTGTCACCGCTATGATGTCTTATAGTCTAAACTTCTATGTGATTTTCTGGAGAAGTAGAGATCATCGTGAGCATCTTCGTCAACAGCAGAGAAAGCTGCTCAAACATCTTTTTGGCACATGCTTCAAATTTGCTGCAAAAAGCATCTTCACTTCCAATCAGTCAGTGAGCACAAGCGTAAACAACACGACGGTGATAAGCTTAAGGCAAAGGTGAATCGAGAAATGTTTGAAATAGCCAGTTTTTATATGAGAGTAAAGGTGCATAATGAACTTCATCACCCCTTGACCACGACTGGGTCTAATTAATTTACTTGCACAAGCACTAAGGAGGATTTTATCTAGGAACCTCTTTTTCAAACGTGACTGCGTTTGGGCAACTTGCGCTTAGCCTAGGTCGGTAACAGAACTGCCTCATTTGGTCTCAACTGAGGGAAATCTCGGTCGAGTTCACGAAGCCAGCTTTATCTAATCCATGATAATGACACTAATAGCCAGTCTGCACGTATACGAGTCAGCAACATTAACCATTCATATCTATGTGGAATGTACAGCGGCATAGATGCGGCCGCACTTGTTATTTCTGGCTAAGGGGCGTCAGCCTGCATCTTCAACATGCTTGGTTGCAAACTGACGCGTGTTGCAACTTATTCAGGAATAACTGCAAAGTTTCTCTGCATCTCACCATTGACACCTTATTCACATTATTCAACTGACATCTCAACTGAACGTGAACTCAAAAGCTACTGCATGACGAAGGCGCAGAAAATGTGTTAGCTGAGCGGGCGCGAATGCGGCGCGCGCGTATCTTCACCGTTGTAAATCCTGCGCCGCAGACGCTTTGCGGCTAACAAAGTCGCGTTCGCGCCCAAGGATATTGTGCCCATACCTTCGATAGTCTAGAGACAGGGCGTCAAAAGTGAAGGTTGTTTGAACATCTGACGTCATAAATGGTGAAGGTTGTTCAAAGAGAAGAGAAAATGACATAAAACAGATATAAAAAGCAAAAGAAACTGCTGAAAAACGGATAAAAACGCTGCAATGAGGCTTGAAATCTTTCACTTGGTGGCTTTTCAAAGTGCCAATTTTCGCTGGACCAGAATTCGCAACACGGGGTTTTGGTTTTTGACGCGTCCTTTAAATTTTTACGCCCGCATTGACGTTCGTGTTTCCTGGGACGTTGTCTGGATTGTTGCGCTTATTGTTCTGAGCAACAACAAGCTGGAAAAAAAATCGATGCGAAAGCGCTGAATCAGAACAAGGTAAAGAAAAACGCACTTTTTACGATTTTTCGCAAAAAATCCCACAATAGTCGAAGAGATAAAGGCTGGGTGGTTGTCTGCATTATGAACAGAAGCAAGATCTATAGAATGCACGAAAAAACTGCGTGATTTAGTTAAAGTAGGAAAAAAACAAGAGATTTTCGAAAACAAGGTTTTTGCCGGATGTCTCGATCAAATCAAAAAATATGGTTTTGGGACGTTGTCAGCGTGAAAATAGAGATCAAGAGCTTCAAAATAATATATAATTTGCTAAATTTGGATTTGAAACAGCGAAGAAAAGGGTACCAGAGCCAAATGCCCCGCGCCCCGCGTTTGGGGTAGCGAGATAGCGCGCAGCGCGCGGAGACGCAGACGAGCAGCGGAGCCAGACCAGAGCCGACGGGGAATTTGGCTCTGGTTGTAGATCTCCGCGGAGTCTCAACGAAACCCTGCATTATTATATATCATTCTGATCACCATGACACGACGACGAGAACTGACAATGTCCCAAGCTTTGAAAATCACTCATTAACGAGATAGACCAGCATTTTCGCGCGCGAATCTCTGCGCAAGATTTAAGCACAGTTTCTCGTTCTTATTTAACTCCAGTAGCTTTCCTGAACTTGTGAAACTCGATTTTGTTTAAGTGAGAGATTAACTAAGAATTTTTTTCTGAATTCCGGCGAAAATCCCACAGAAACCTTTTTTAGGTAAAAAAGGCTATGAAAATGCAAATTCTCGGTTTCGCTGAGATAAGCTAAAGATATTATTCCCTATAATTGCTTCATTAACACTCGTTCCATTATAATCAGGATAATAACATCCAGGGCGAAGCCCCGGATGACTTCTGTTTTTTACAGGTGAAGGTTGTGTCCCCTCATAGCCCTCAAAGTGAAGGTTACCAGAGTACGTGGCTCTATGTATCGAGGGTATGATTGCGCCTTCGTCCTGCAGCAGCCAGTGGCGTACCGAGGGCCCCCCCCCCCCCCCCGAGAATAGGTCGCAAAATTTTTGAAAGTTACTTGCATGAGTTATAAAAATGTGCAAGTGACTTGTTTATTAAACAATTAAAATAATTTTTTAAATTTTTTAAAAATTCAAATTAGTCTTATAGAGGCCACGCCCCCTTTTTCCACATTTTAGGGGTTGGGGGCCCGCAAAAATTTTGAGAAGCACCCCTAAAATTTTTTCGGAGTGCGTGGCTGACGCCACGCACCTTCATTTGAAAAAATTTTTGCCGCGCCCCCCCCTCCCCTCGAGCCGAAATCCTGGGTACGCCATTGGCAGCAGCCTATGCACTTTGAGTTCAGTTGATCGCGGCATTTGCGCTTTGCATTCTTACAAGACTGGAAGAAGGCATAACTGAGTCTCTCAGTTCAGATTAACTAAACCAATGGCTTTAAAGGCAGCGTCCCACCAGAATGGGGTACGTGGCTCTCGTAATGATGTAATAGTAGACCCCCTACCTAAGCGATGACTGAAGTTCGGAGCGAAAAAGGAGGTCTACCAAGCCTGAAATTTGCTCCGGAAGTGGGCCGAATCTTACGGTAGGCTCGGGCGAGTGCGAGGTGCATGCAAGGTAGAGACGCAGAGTAGTTGCGGGTCCCTGCGCTCATGATGTGTGCGCTATACGGGGGGGGGGGGGGGCACGCGGAAGGCGACAATCGGCGAAAAATGGAGGCTGTGTATCATCCGTCTCAATGACTTTCAAGGATTTCTACCTGTGGCATTGAGTAATGTATCTGCCCCCACCCCCCACCCGCGTAGTCCCCCGGGGTCTCACTATGACACAGGAGAGTTTTTGATAGGCACAAAATTGCGGATTGTCGCCTTCCGCACCACACCCCGCTATACGCACTCTGGCCCTGCAAATCGATATTGCCGTGTGGGCGGCGTTCGGCCCTACCGTAAGATTCGGCCCACTTTCGGAGCGAATTTCAGGCTTGGTAGACCTCCTTTTTCGCTCCGAACTTCAGTCATCGCTTAGGTAGGGGGTCTACTATCACAGATACCCCCAGTCTGGTGGGACACTGCCTTCAACGAGCCATAATCTTTCGTGGTGAATTAGAACAAGTATGTAATAGGCATCGGACAGCAGAATGAGCGATTTCAAATAGTACAGATATCCACTAATAAAAAAATGCTGAGACTTCTTCGGATTAAATCCGTTTTGAAAGCATTAAACGCTGACTTCAAATCTGTCCTTGGTATCTGCTACTCCACTGGCGCCGAGTTGTGGGCGTTTTTCTGAGGGATTGAACCCGCATTCGGAACAGTCATGCATACCCGCTCAGGTGGGCCAGTGTTGGAAATCAAGGCATTCTATGCAAAGAATACTTTCTTTTTAACGCATTTTAACGCACGCACCACCGCTTGACACGAGCACTAAATGGAGGTAACGATTAATTTAATTTCAAATTCAGCTCACAATCCAACGGATACTCTTACTCGAAGTAGAGGGAAGCACAAAGGGAACCGACTAAAAACATTCTTGTAAGTACAAAATCAGAGACTTGCTGCATGAACACAAAACAACAAGAAACTGAGAAACCTTTTACAATACCTAGTAATCTTATCGTATGCCCCGCTATCGGCGAGTAAATCTTCGTCATGGCTTTCTCCCAAAACGCGAAGACACATCTTTGGTTTATGGCATGCCGTGACTCCGTCAAATCGCAAGCATAGGCGCAGAGTAAGTTCTGTAAGTAGTCGCAAACATCATCCTTGTTCAAGCAAAGCGTATGATTATTTGAGTTGCAATGCACGCGCAGTTACTGGAATTGCGGAAAGTGCCTTAAACCTTACCATTAACCTCGAGGTTTTCAAACTCTTTGAACTCATATTTGGATCAAACCGACGATCCTTAAAGGCATAAGGCCTCCTATCAAGCCAATGTCTAAGTCGCAGTGCAGAATGTCGTTTCGGAAACGAGAAAATCGCCCCGGAATAACGAAGATGCACGAGGACTCCCATCCATGCCCGCCCATTTGTGCGCGCCCATCCAATCACCGTTCCAGAAAGCCGACCTGCGGGGTTCTCCGGAACGGGGATTGCCGGGGTTTTCGCGGATTCTCGACTTCATATTGGGAATCAGAGACATAAGAGGGCGACAAAAAAGACGAGAATCTGGGTGGACGGTGCCTCTAAAAGGCGTAAATTTTGGACAATTTAATGGACACGTAATTCTTTCCTCTTGTGGAACTGCCTTCTGGGCTAAATTATCTCAATTCTAGGCTGACCTCAGCATGGTGTTAGAGCTATCTAAACAGGGTGGAGGACATTAGATCGCCGAGGCTCCACCAGCGCGCACAGCTAACAGAGGCAGTAGTGGTGAAGACTCGTGGTTTATTGCAAATGTCAAGGCGGGACCTTCCCTTACCCTGTCCCTTACCTCATCTATTTTGGAAATGCTTTCTGGGCTAAGTTATTCTTATTTTCAAATTAGTCTCAGCGTGGCGCCGGTATTGTTCAAACATGTGCCAGTTTGATTATTTGGCTTGGTCCCAGTTTTGAATTTGTCTCCGCTTTTTGATAAGAGTTTGGATGAAATGAATGCTGCTTTGAGTGTGTTGCGTGAAAACCTTCTGCTCACAAAATAGCTCCGTTTAAAGGCACCGTCCACCCAGATTCTCGACTTCCAGGTTTTTGTCGTTTCAGGCCCTTCTCATGTCCCTGATTCCAATATGAAGTCGAGAATCCGCGAAAATTCCGAAAATCCCCATTCCGGAGAACCTACATGTTTAAACAATTCCGGCGCCACGCTGAGACTAATTTGGAAATAAGAATAACTTAGCCCAGAAAGCATTTCCAAAATAGATGAGGTAAGGGACAGGGAAAGGGAAGGTCCCGCCTTGACATTTGCAATAAACCACGAGTCTTCACCACTACTGCCTCTGTTAGCTGTGCGCGCTGGTGGAGCCTCGGGAATCTAATGTCCTCCACCCTGTTTGAATAG